ACAACGGCAGTACGACGTAACCCCGAGGCGCGAGCATCACGCGCACGAACGGCAGCACGCCGAGCACGAGCGACGCCAAGAGCGCAACTGAGATGAGGACCGTGAGCGACGGCACGAGGAGCGGGAGAAAGAGGACGATTTCGACCGACGATCCTAGGCGTCTAACTATCACGAATGACCGAATCCCGACAAACCGCGACTTATACTATCCAAGTTCACTCGTATAAGGGGACCGAAAGCGAATCATCACATGGGGCGATTTTGAGCGAGAGTTACTTACGCGCTTTGGTACATCCGACTACCACAACTATGATGAGGCGTTGACTCGTATAAGGCAAACAGGTAATTTACGTGACTATCTGAAGGAATTTAAACGTTTAGCATGTCGAGTACGGGGCTGGCCCGAAACTGCATTTGTAGGAGCATTCGTAGGCGGCCTGAAATTTGATCTTGCGGTCGAGGTATGTCTGGAACGACCAAAGACCATGCACGCTGCTATGGAAGTGGCCCGATGACGTGAATATCACCTAGTAGCCACGCGAAGGGGACGGGCAGACGCCCGTTTCACCGACACGCCGCACAGGGCCATCTCAAGCGACCATAGGCGCATGACCGACCAATAACGCTCGACCACTGGGGCCAGTAGTCAAGCAACTCACTCCTGAGGAGATCAAACGCCGACGCGAGAAAGGCCTTTGTTTCAAGTGCGAGGAAAAATTTATGCCAGAGCATCGATGTAGGCAAGCCTTTGTCATAGAAGTTGCCAACTCCGACGAGGAAGAAGCTGAAGTCGTGGAAGATCTGGACCCAGTAAACGACATTGAAGCATTTGATGAGGAGGCTGAGATCTCGATGCACGCTATGGCTAGGATCAGAGGGCCAAGGACGATGAGGCTACCATCTTGGGTCAAGGACCGACGAGTGATCGTACTCGTAGACAACGGGTCATCACACAACTTCATCAATGCCGACTTGTCCCAGAAGTTGAATCTACCAACAACGAAGATTGAGCCCTTTGATGTTCGAGTAGCCAACGATGAGAGGCTTCAATTCACTGAGTCCTTTTGTAAGGTACCTATCAAGTTCCAAGGAGTTGTTGTGGAAGCAGATCTCTATGCCCTACCCTTGGTTGGACCGAACGTGGTTCTAGTAGTACAGTGGCTGGAAGGACTTGGGAGAGTGACCACGGACTACTGCACCGGAGTCATGGATTTCAGATCTGGAGGAAAGCGAGTCACTCTCAAGGCTGGAGGAGAAAAAGTTACTAAAGAGGTTGAACTGAAGAGTATTGAAAGAGTTTGGCGAGGTGGCGACCAAATTTTGCACTAGTCGTTTGTCGAGAACACTGGGGCGCACATGGTCGAGAACGAGCAACAGCAAGGAGATGTGCGCGAGCTTCTCGAGGAGTTTGAGGGAGTACTGGGCGAACCTAAGGGACTACCACCTTACCGGGAGTTCGATCATCGCATACCACTAGTCAATGAGCAGCATGCCGTACACGTTCACCCATATAGGTACGCTCACTTTCAGAAAACAGAGATCGAAAGGCAAGTAGCTGAGATGTTATAGTCTGGGTTAATTTAGCATAGCTCGGGTCCGTTTTCATCACCGGTATTATTAGCTAAGAAGAAGGATGGTACATGGAGGTTTTGTACCGACTATCGGGCTCTGAATGCGGCGACTATCAAGGATTGATTTCCAATTCCCAGTGTCGACGACATGCTCGATGAGTTGGCAGGATCATGCTATTTCTCAAAGCTCGACCTAAGAGCTGGTTACCATCAGATCTGACAACACAAAACCGACATTCCGAAGACAGCTTTGCGTACGCACCAGGGGCATTATGAGTATTTGGTGATGCCATTCGGGCTATGCAACGCTCCATCAACATTCCAATTTGCTATGAATTCCATCTTCAAGGAGTACCTACGTAAGTTTGTACTAGTATTCTTTGATGATATATAATGCAGGCGTAAGCGTCCTGGTACGGTTCGGGATAGATTAGTTCTTGTCCTCGCCAGTAGAACGCCGGAAACATGCAAATAACTCTCACACTGGGGGTTGTGTCCGGTGAAGAGCCTCCGATGCTTAAGTCAGTATGTGTATGAGTATACTGAAGTGAAGTATGGAAAAATAGAATGTGTTAAGGGAGAAAGGCTCACCCCCTTTATATAGGGGCGAAATACCTGCCCTAATAGTTGCCCGGATAAGGTGAGTTGGCTGCCCAAGCTACCCGTCCGTACTTTGACACGCCGCGCACATGTCAGAGGTGGTGCAAGGCGTTGGGAGCTGTCAGAGGTGGTTATCGCTATCACCCACTACATTCTCGACACGTGTCCTCCTGCACATGGGGTAAATATTCTCCCGAGGTTCAGTTAGAGGCTCTTATGCGCGCCCGCGATACACGCGCCCATGACTAGTTCGATTATTGATTCCTTAAAGTGATCGACCTGTTGAGGTCGAATAGGTTGCCCGATCAGGTATCTGGTCGAGCGACGAATTGATCGATCGTCTTTCGGGTCGTGCGATGGACTGGTCAACCACCTGCTTGGTCGACTGTCTGAATGATCGATCCTCCCGCTTCTTGTCTTGGTTTCCTCTTAGTTTGACCCTCTCGACCGGCTGAGCAGACCGGTTTAGCCTTGTGTATGTAATATCCCATATCATCTAGTCCCCCCCACTCTGGTCGAGTCTGATTGACTCGATCTAAGAGTGAATTGGTATCTATCGACCTCCTGGATGGCTCGTCGTCAGATATCGACCGTTTGGTAAGTTTCCCGCTCATTTCATTTTTTTTTTCGAATAATTTCCCATTAATCACTAGAAATAAAGTCATCTGCTTCAAGCCCTTTCTGTCGCGCCCGCTTTCTGCCACGCGTCACGTCTGTCATATGTGTCGGGCGCTTTAATTATTGTGCCTCCTCGCCTAACGCGTCCGTTTTGAACCCCGTGCGAATTAATACTCCCCACCGTAGGATGTAACTTTAATCCGACGGCCCTTATCTTCAATCTTCCAAGGTATAAATTCCATACTTAGCGTATTTTTCGACTTTTTTCCACCCTCACAATTTTTGGATTACTCTGTGCCCAGAATTCTCTCTGCAAAAAACCCTTACTTTCTCGAAGATTTCTCCTGCTCTCTTTCAAACTTCCATCAATTATTGATCCACGGTTATGAGTAAGTCTCTCCACGCTTGAATTTGTATTCTTTGTAGTTCTATTTTATGTATTCTTGGATTTTCACTACTGGGTGCCCTTGATCTGTCTGTTGAATTGTTTCAAATTGGCGTGTCTTGTGTTGAATTTGTGCATGGAATACTCTTGTCTGTCTATTGAATGTTGAGGGTTTTGCTTCTCCTCTGAGAATTTTTGAAATTTCCGTCCCTATACCTCCCAAATTCTTCTTCTGGTTTTTGGATTGCTCTCTCCCAAAACCCTAATCTTTCTTCTCCCCTCTTTCTTCGTTGCGGCGACTTCTTTTGATATTGTTCTCTTTGTCTTTGTTTTGATTTTCTTTTCAGACTCTGAGACCTCCTCTGATTCGGTTAAAATACTGCCCTCTGCGCTCGAAGTTGTCCCCCTCTCTATCCTTCGCCCCGGTGATACAGTTCCTACCCGTGTTTTCACAGCCCGCGTCGCTTCTTCAAACTCTGTGGATACCATGGATAACATTCTTCTCCGCCGCTGTCGACCTGCTCTTGGCGCGTTAGACGAGCCAGAGGAGGACGAGGTTATTTCTCCGCAGCCTACTGCTCCTCCCTCTTCAAATTCTCCGCCCAAGTGATCCTCGACCAGAAAACCTTCTAAGCGCCCATCTTCTACTTCTCTTTCTCACCCTTGGTTCAATCCTAAAAAAATCGGTCAACCTCTTGGTTGGGCGTTCCTTAGCTCTTCTCCCTCTGACAAATATGATCATCCTCCGCAAGATTGTTATACCTTCTTCGAGATTCAGTTCAAACTCGGTCTTCGTTTTTCTCTAAGTCCTAAGCTACTTCGCATTTGCGAATGGTTCTCTCGTCCCCTGCATCAACTTCCCCCTAATGCTATCCGTTTCATGAACGTTTTCATTATTCTTTGCCATGTCCATTTGGGTCGATTCGATCTGGATTTCTTTCACTATTGCAATGGCCCTTCGAAGCAAGGTCGAGGCCTTTACCTAAAAAGCCGTAATGGCGCCCATTTCATCAACGACATCCCTTCTAACCTCCCCAAGTGGAGTGATAAATTTATTTTTGTTCGACCTGACGCCCCTTTCCCATTGCCTTCCATTCCTTGGGTCAAGGAAGTCTCGCGAGAGGCGGCCTCGGCCCCTCCTTCGAACCATCTCTTCGACCAATGGATTCACACTTGGAATGCCAAGTCCGTTGAGTCTGAAAAACTCCTTGGTGATAAAAATCTTCTCCATTTTTGCGGTCTGCTTACCCATAAAACTCTCTCTCCTCCTACTGAAGAGATTCTCAATCTTGTTCGTATTGAATATGATCCAGGTAATCCTCAGCCCC